GTGGCATTATCGTGTTTCTCACGAATTTTTTTATAGGAATCAGTACTTACGTCTAAAATTCCTGACACATGCAAGAACACTATTCCTGGTGAAAAAAGTTTTTGTTCTTACTTTTGATCAATTTTCGTCTGTTTTAGTGATTGATGGAGTGTAAATTTTGATAAAGTTTCAATGAGGAAACCTGAGCAAGGCAAGGAGTAATTTTTAAAAATTAAATTTGCAGATACCGTCCCCTTTCCGGAAGCATTCCAGTACAGATTTTAAGTTGAAAAATAGTGTATTTTCTTCGGAAAATACACTATAAATCCAGTATTTTCGTCGTTTTCGCAAGATTAAACCTGGCAAAGTGAGAGATTATCCTTGAAGGCTTCGGCCACTTTCCTCTCGAATCATCGTACTTTCGTACTGCTTTTCGCAATTTGTAACTACTATTTCTGACTCATCCGTGCAAACACTTATGTGCATAGGGAAACGAATGGTGCACACGTTGTTTCTAAGCCGAGCCTCATATTGTACTTCCTAATTGCGAAATGTAGTCCATTTAACATTCAACCATTAGATAATTAAAGTCTATTTGCGATCCCTCGGAATTCGAAATCACTCCCGGGATCAGTCCGTCATTAGCCAAAGTGAACGCGATTGACTCCGAGTTTTTCCAACGGTCGATGTCGGCCAATCACCATCGACCGCTCCGGCAATCAATAGACCCGAGCGTATCTCAATCGGTCGATGGCAAAACCTCGCAAGTCTATTATTCGATGACCCCTAGCGTGTAGCCATTCTAGTGGACTTCAGAGCTCATCGAAAAATCGGCATGTTCGGTTTTGACATCGGCCAATTCATCTAATTACCACTCGGGTTTTTCAGTCCGTCCGTCCGTCGGCTAGATGAATTTATAACGAAAATGTCAAGGCCCCATCGCCATGGCTGAGTAATGATTTCTTGACGGAGTGATAACAGCTCGAACCTTCGAGTTCCACGGAAAATCGTCGTAATTGCGTTTTAAGATGAGCCCTGTTGCACTTATACTTCCATACTCTCCAGGGCTCACTGGAAGCTAAAGTTACGCCTTTATGATAGCGGAGGGATGAAATGTCGACTGGCGACCCGGAAAGAAGACCGCCTTGATAGTTTCCTTCGTTGAACGGGGGAGGGTTAGAAAGTAGCTCTCTATTAGCTTTGACAGAATAGGTAGAATTTTTTTATCGGTGCGAATTCATTCCTTTTTTTAGATTATCTAATCATTTCGACGGACTTTTGATGAGAAGTTTATAATATAGATCAATTTTGATATCGTACCTATAATTGGAATCCATTTTGCAATATGGAATCATTATTTCTGGCTCCTCCACGAAAGCAGCTGTCTACACAAGGGATCTGATAGCACATATTTTGTTTCTGGACTAAGTCAAAAATTATAAATAAAAATCGCAAAATATAGTCTAGTTGTCGCTTGAACAACTCATTTTTCCGTAGGAAGAACCTCAAAGGTTTACATATTGCGACTGAGGATGGCAAAATTGCCACCACAACGAATTCGGAACGAAACATCTAAATATGAACATTTGAAGATCCTCATAAGAAACTGATTTAACTCGGCCTCTGGGAAATGAAAAAAAAAAATGAAAATAAGATGTATCTTTTTCTGATAGCAGTAAATCAGTGTAAGATGGTCTGTTTTCATACATATCTATATTCAGCCGAACTCTCCATGTAGAGATAGGGCAGAATAAATCAGGGGGCTTGCTACCCTGAGTCGAAGTGACATTACCAAATGGTGGTTTTCAGTCCTAATCATGGCAACTCTGCTAATGTATTCAGCTCTATCTCTACAAGGAAAATTTGACCGGACTAAGGGGGAGGACTCTCCTATACTCAGAAGTGGGCTTCATAAATTTCTACGCATAAGAATCACATCGTTTGACCGTACTCTTAAACCGCGTTCATTTGACAGCGAAGCGTGGGGGTGTCTGACCCTTTAGTTTTCAACATTATTTCTGTCACAGAAAGCCTCATCGGTGTATATACACGTCAATAAAATGTGCAGCCCGTTCCTTGCGGAGCAAAGTGTCCTCGTAAAGTGGCGTAAAAAGTGTTTTTTTCTCCGGTCCACAGTTCCACACCCTCGAACTCTTTTTCCAATATCAGTCCTCCTGTGTTCCCTCCATTACTGCTGATATCTCGAGAGGTTTGTCAACAAGCACTGTCAATATTCGCTCTCTCATTTGGAGCTCCGCGCCCTGTAGCATCCGACGCGCTCTCCATTTCAGTAGAGTAGATGAGCTTTTTCTCAAATCGCTTGTTTCTCGGGTTTTCTCAGTTTTTGTTGTCCCACTTTTGTTTTTATTTTTTACTTTTTTACCCTCGTTGCTTTATCTCCGAGATCGTCACGAGCGCAATTGAACGATAGCCGCCGTGCCTAGGGGAAACGCCGAATGAGCTGTGCGACGTTGCTGGATTTCTTCCATAAATTATGAATTTTATGGAAAATCTGTGCTTTTTTTTTCTTTGAAATTTTCAGAGGATTTCACGCACAATTAAATCTACTCTATCTGAAAATATCATGGGAAACTGTTCATAAATTTTATCTCAAATGAATATTTTATTAGAATAAATTTGGCAACATTTGAACGCTCATAAGGCGCTTTTCCATAGGCACAACGAAATTTCATCGACACTTTATTTGCGGAGTTATCGCGTGAATTTTTGTTTGGATAACGACTCAGAATTTAGCTCGATTCTCTTGAGGATCCGGTGCTTGAGTTAAGGTTTTTTGACCCCTTTTTCTTTCAACGAGGCAGCTAGCTGTCTTTGTAAGGATAGTTTTTTCATCGTCTAGAGGGATCTACTGGGAATTCTCGCGTCATATTTTTACGGCCATGACACTTTTGAAAAATTTGGTTGTTCGGTCATCAACCAGTTTCAAAAATCGCTTTTTAACGCCCATCTTCAACTGCCGAAAAGTCCAAATTTGTATTCATTTATTTGTCCAATTTTTAATCTTTTTTTTTAAAAAAAACTGTGTGTATTTTTTGGCTGCGGACACATCAGTTGGCATACCATTTTTGATCGATCACGGTGGAATTTGGTTGAGTTTTCTTGGCCAGCACGCGTTTCTAAACGATAATAACGGGCGTTGGAGTTTGGCCAATTGTTCAATTATTGTTGAGGGATTACACTCGTCAAATGAATTCGGATTAAATCGTATTATCACATGCCTTGATCCAATTCAACAAGTTATTAGCAGGTTGTCCCAGCAAAGACTCCTATCGTCCTCGCTGAAGCGTTGATTCGTGTTAATCGATGGTCAGGACAGAATCCCCTGAATATTTCAGTTTTTCATCTCTGTCCGAGCAAAGATGGCTTACTTCCTTTATGTCTATAGCGAACGGGAGGGCTAAATTTTTGGCCGTTAAGAATTTCCATTCACAATATTCTGAACGCCAACATGATGGTAGTAAATTGATGATTGGACTTCATTTTGCAATCCGGAACTAAAATTTCTGACTCATCTGTAAAAAAACTTATGTGCATAGGGACACTGATGCCACCTAAAATTTATCTAACTGAGCTAGAAATTGTAGCTCCGAATTGCATAATTTAGTCTAATAATTATGAATGTCATTTTCTGTCGTTGGAAGAGAAAATGTCATCAGAATGTAATCATGGCGGAGAGAAAGTAAAGGAAAGAAGGAACTCTGCACATAGCAGTTGTAGTTACTTGCTTCATAGTTCTTCTCTATTTAATTTTTTTTATTTAATTGATGTTGCACGTCCAATTCCGTACAATCGTTTGTATAAGTATGTCTAGTACAAATTCGAAGCTGATGCTGTTTTTTAGGTTTTTTGACCTATTGTCTTGTTTTTTCACAGTATGAATAAATTGAACTGCTTTTGGAGTTCCTTGGTATTTCGCATCTCGTACAAACTGAACGCGATTCATCCTCCCATTATGCAGATGTTCTAAAAGCATTTGAAAAAATAATGTCACGACACTATTTCTTATTTGATCGATCGTAACTTTTGACACTCGTTTTCCTTTCATTGACATTTTGTATGGCCAACTTGGTCACGTATATGGAAAACACTTTGAGATACTTGGTACTTGAAATGCTAATAAGTTTTTCAGAATCCTTTGCTATATGACCTTTTAAACTAGCACACAGCAAGCGAAAGCAAGTGATCGATACAGTCATTTGTTTCAATTGAAGTTCCTATCATCACACAAGATCTGAAGCCAATTATTGTTTATGTGAGGCTCGATAACGCGTGACAGATGAAATTTTGTTAATCTCTACGCATTTCTGCGTAAAAACTTGAGTTCTCAACTTACGTATGATCAGCTGCTTAAATTTTCCATAATTCCGAATTTAGCACCAATAACCACAGGACTTGAACTTATCAACACCCGGACAATTAAGTTTCCCACGAGTAGAATGACCAACGGAACTCCTTATCGATGTAGTTCATAGTTTTTTTCATCAGGATTTTTCCGTATTGATCACGTTTTCGTGAGTTGGGATGGTCGTAAAGTCAGTCGCCAGGACTTTCTGCTCCACTGACAAAATTATGTTGTTTTTTTTCGTCCATTTTCTGCTCAATTTAAATCTATAACGCATAGGTTAACATTTTTCTTAACCTGCGTTGAAATTCAACCCACAGCGTCTTTTCAAAGTATTTACTTCCCAATGTAGTAGCGTTTTTTCAGTCCGAATACATGGAAAACCCAACTCTTCGAATTCTACTCCCTCGATTGCAGTGTGCCTAAGCTGCCTTTCTTAGAAATGATGTGACTGAACTCATTTATCAAAAACTTCACTCTTCAGAATAAATTTTAACTTAAGTATCATGGATGCAAATTATTCTTCAGAATCAACCGAAAAATTTCCACACTCGACGGCTCGTGATGCAATACAACCCCCTCCCTCCGCTCCCCCCCCCCCCCGGATCGTAGAGCGACCAACCGACCCTCCAACGGTTCCTCTCTGTCTTTTTTTCAGTTTGCAGCTGGTTCGGATTACCCGATAGATTGTGTGTGTCATTAATCTCAACGTACTCGAGTTATCTGTTTCGCAGTTGGGCTCGCGAATCGCAGAGCCGCCTGCTTGAACGTCTCGAGAATTCCAAGCCGGTGTCACAATTGTATTCCCTAGTGTGACAATCAGCGAGCTTTCCAGTGTTAAAATTCCGCTCCACCGTCGATTGCAGCAGTGAATTCTTTCGGGAGTTCCTATACCAAGTGCGGGTGCAGTATTGCGGAAATTGTGTCCTCAGTGTTGGATACGAAAAAGTGTCGCCTTTTTGTGGATTACCAGGAGCCCGCGCGTTTGTGCTTTCCCGGAGTTTCATAAGGAGGTGACAGGAGTTACAAGCCGGAGTTACCGAATTTTCGTTCAAATTACGTCCAGCTTACCGGAGTTACGTCTGACGGTACAAAAGTTGAATCAGGCTCCATCGGAGTTACATTTACGTCTACCGGAACTACTTCATATTCCTACGGAACGCTATAAGTTCGCGTGTGTGATCTTCCGAAGTTTCTTAACGAAGTGACGGGAGATAACAGGAGTTATCAAATTTTCAACTGTTTTGACCGGAATTACAATTTGCTTGACAAGAGACACGTCTGATTTTACCGGAGTTACTTCTGACTGTACCGGAGTTACGTCCATCTGTACCGGAGTTACGTCCATCTGCACCGGAGTTACGTGTGCCGGTACCGGAGTTACTTCTGGCGTTACCGGAGTTACTTCTGACTGTACCGGAGTTAAGTCCATCTATACCGGAGTTACGTCCATCTATACCGGAGTCACGTGTGCCGATACCGGAGTTACTTCTGGCGTTACAGGAGTTGCTTCTAACTGTACCGGAGTTAAGTCCATCTATACCGGAGTTACGTCCATCTATACCGGAGTCACGTGTACCGATACCGGAGTTACTTCTGGCGTTACCGGAGTTACATCTGGTAGTACCGGAGTTAAGTGTGCCTTGACCGGAGTTACCATATCCCTTAGTTACCGACCCAAGTGTCCTTTTCCTCGGAATCGAAATCTATTCTAAGTTGAGTGGGTTTTTCGGATCGCGAGTGAGTGTTATGAAGTCGGGCGGCGTCGTTTGAATGTCGCCTTACAGCAGGGAGCGGGTGTCGGTGATCGCCCCGCGGGGGCCGTCCCTCGTCGTCATCCCGGAGAAGATCCCTTCGTGCCCGACCCCGATCTCGCCGACGGGCGAGCTCCCCGGCGACAACCGCGATGGCGCCCTCGCCCTCCTCTCCAGCATCAGGAAGTTTATCATCAGCAGGTTCGCCAAGATCGGACAGCGCTCAGTCGGAAAACCAGGTTAGTTTGTCGCTTTCTTCTGAAATATCAGAGACAAGAGACCCTCCACTAGTATCTTGGCCATGGTGGAAGCTTTTACTTTCGGGGTTTCAACAATTCCTTATGGACAATTATTAGGGAGCAACAGTCATCACCCTAGTTTCGGCTGTTGACTTACCTACATGGTCGATGATGAGCTTCAGATGACGTCATGAGCCAAACAACTTTCTCAAACGTCGGCCATTTTCGGCTTGTGTGCAAAACGAGACTGCCAACACGTTGTTGAACATCAACCATGTAGGTAAGTCAACAATAGAATGCAGAAGTCCCGAAAGTAAAAGCTTACACCATGGCCAAGATACTAGTGGAGGGTCTGTTGTCTCTGTGCAATATGCGCAGCGTTCTTATAAACGAAGGGGGCGCCCGATGGAAGGGTGGCGACAGGGGGTTTTGGATAAGATGAGGGAGTGCCAACACCCTGATGGGTTGTGGGAGGACCGAGTTTTGTGGCGGTTACGCGTCGCAGAGCGCCAGAGAGCGCTGTGAGAGCGACTCCTATGCATGTTCTTATAAAAGTCATTTATGCGGATCTCAAAAGGGGTCAGGCTCTCTCATAAGGTAGAAGGACTTCAGCAAAGAAAATCTCAAGCATGCACTGCCGTGCTAAGGAACAACGCCGTATAAACCTTAAAGTGTTGCCGAATTTCCCCAGATAGAACGTGTATTTTTGAGAGAAGCTATGCATGTTTTGCCTTGAAATTTGCAGAGATTTTAGATTGAATCGCGAAAAAAAATTTCTGAAAAATTTGAAGATAAATACTCTCAATTTTTTAAGTCAATTCGGCTTGTATTGAAGGAAATATCGCAACGTCTGAAGGCTCATATGCGTCGTTAGTTCAAAGTTGTTCATATTTTTCCTTTAATTTTTCAGAACATTTTGTTTGAAATTTAATCTGAAGCACATGAAAATGTTTAGAAAAAATTAATGTAACACTCCTCCCTAATAATATTCGAATGCTAGTACGGCGTTTTCCTCAGCGCGGCAAAATAGCCACGGCATTTCGTCACCCCTCTGACGTAAGGGCGTATCTCGATTTTCGTAGGAGCCCCAGAAAACATGGGTTTATATGTAAAACAGGGTTCACGTGGAAATTGAGATAGTTCTTACGTCAGAGGGGAGAGGATTTTTCTTGAGGACCTCTGCGGAGGAATTCAAAATCCCGATCTCTCAGTGACATCTCAATAAAACCGCGCGAAAGAAGCAAAAGCAAACCAGGTTTCGTTTTCACTATGTCACGACGATGACACCGAGATCGAGGCGAGAAGTCGTTAATGGGCGGATCCGTCTCGTTTCTTTTGAAGCGGCGCAGGCGCAGAGTATGCAAATACCCGCGCTTTAATCGCGAGTTTCGCTCGTTAAAAAGTGTAGCACGAAAACATGATTAATTTTCGGTTAATTGGCGAAAATTGCGAAACTCGCGTCGGGCGATCCGCGAGGTGGGCTCCCGCGCCGGCCTCAGAGAGGTCTTGCGTGGAAATGACGAAAGAAAATCACCCGATCGAATCCTCTCGCGTAATAACTTCTTCTCCGATACACTCTCGCCAAATAGTGCTGTTTTTACACATTTTTGACAATACCTCTTCATGTATTCAAGAAAAGGGGGAAAGAAAGAAAAACTGAAAGAAGAAATCTTCAGCCCTATTTATTGATGTCGTATTATCAGCTTTAGCCCAATAAACTCAGGATGCCTAATCGATTTGTTTCAAATTTTAATAAAACAAATAGAATTTCAACGAATTTCCACTGAGTTTTAACGAAGAAAAATTTAACCTTATTTGCTGAACATGTATCCTTTTAGCTTTAGCTCAATTCACTCCGAATGCGATCGTTTTGTTTCAAATTTCACTAAAGAAAGTGAAATTTCAATGAATTTTCAGTGAATTTTAATGAAGAAAAATTCAACTTCATTAGCTAGGGGTGGATCCTCATCCAGACCTAATGCATTGTGGATACGATAGATTTGTTTCAAATGTTAATAAAAATCAAGCCAAATTTAGTCTTTGGATGAATCATTACAAAATATTTATGCCGAAAATTATTCTAAAAAATCTCAAAATAAAGTCAGGATTGCTGTTCGTAACGTATTGACCATCGCTATTGATACATGAAGATCGGTTTGCAATATTAGAAATAGTGCTTTTGACCTAATTTCAAGATTTTTCGGTTTGAATTTTTCAAAATTGATGATCCAAAAATTAAAAATTACTCCCCTTCTCGGTCCCACGGTTAATAACCCTCCTGAAAATTGCCACGCATGATTTCTGTCGGTGAAAATGTTAGTCCTTGCAGAGGACTCCGAGTCTTCTGTTTATGTTGCAAGCGCGGCAACAATGGTCCAACTCGAATCCACACCATAGCTCAGCAAAAACTCGTCCATTTCATCACTCGATCAACGTGTTGATCAATAAGCGATCGTTTACGAAGCCGTGCAGTCGGTTAACTGAAATTAAATGACGGTGCATCTCACGTAATTCCGCTTTCTCACGTGGAAATCAACGAGCTTAGTGTATCATTCGGATGAATTAGCCCATCTTTAGGAGAGCCATCAATTTGGACAATTTGGAAAAATATGAGACTGCACCAGGATGTCAGAAACCCTCAAAACAGGGGATTGTCAGGAATTTTTTCCGGCATCAAGGGAAACCTGTGAAAATGTCTTAAAATTCGCGAAAAAATTTCTGATCGTGAAGTGGACCGCGCCAAGCAGAAAGAAACCAAGTCAAGTCAGATATTGCCAAATTTAATTGGGCAATTTAATATTTCACATCTGAACGATTGTGCGGAATTTTTTGCAAATTTCAGTAAATTTTCTGCACACTACGAAGCAAATTCCTTAACATTTTCAACAAAAATCTGTACAAACGTTCTCTCGTAAAAAATTAAATTGTCCAGTTAAATTTAGCAACAGCTAATGTGGCTCGGTTCCTTTCTGCTAAACGCGGTCCAAATATTCTTGCCGAGATCGTCAAGTTACCTATCACTTTAGAATTTGAAAAATTCGATCTTTCAATCCCAAAGTTGTATCGGAGGAAAAATTCCTCATTCTCATCAACCTCTGCGAGTTTTTACAATTTTTGTTTCAACAGTCAAGGCTGTATGAAGAGAATGAGGTATTTTTCTTCAATTGAATGTACAGGAACAGCATTGATAATTTCCGTCGAAATACTTAAGAGGTGGAAATCCGAGGGAAATCACCCGGCAACAGTGGCGTGGCGTGCTTTGCGATATATCGATTGATCTGCGTTTTAAACCCATAAAAAAATATCGATTAACAGGGTGTTCGCAGCGAACACCATAATAATCGATAATTCATCACAGCTTCAAATGGGGAAATATCGATAGATCGAAAAGCACGCCTTGCCACTGCCCGGCAACTGGGATTTTTCCTCCTAGTCCTTGTCACCATTATATACCATTGAAGCGGCCTGTAGGTTGCGTATTTGTATTTGATTTGGCAGGTTCACATATTTTTTCCGGCGCGTTCAGACGAAAGATCGAATGAACAAAAATACCTCAGCCTTCAGCTGGTTCATTTCTTTGTCTCTCGATTTGACCATTCAATTGTAACCCTTCGTTAAGAACGTCTCATGTTACGAGAATCTTTACTGGTACGTGCCGCTGTCCTTCTAGAAGGATTATCTTTTCTAAATTGAAATTGTCTTCTCTTATTTTGCCGAGAGAAGTATGTTCGCGCTTTATTCGTAGGGATTTGCACTTCCCGGGGAATATGCTTCTACGAATCCACTTACTTAGTTTTTAATCGGTTAAAGTGAGTCTTTTGGACGACCAGACGCACACATAAGCATTATTATGTGAGAACGAATAATTCCTAATTGTTAATGGTTCGATGAGAATACATTTGGGCACTAGATATTCTTTTTCGGACCCATTGTCTTAGATAATTACGAATTGGACGATGGAAGTGAGAGAAGAAGCTCTCGTGTATAACATGCGAACACCTCAGTGGCGAGGCGTGAATGTTCATCGATTTTTCCTCTTTTTATGCTATGGTGAAGAATCGATTATTAAGGTGTTCGTTGCGAACACCCTGTTAATAGGTATCCTTTTCCATAGATTTGAATGGCAGATCAATCGATACATCTCAAAACACGCCACGCTCCTGGAACACCTTATTGTCGTTGGTATAGATGGAGAAGTATGTCCAAAAGTAGGTCAAGGTCGAGAAAAATCGAGAAAAAATAATGAACAATACCTGCAGTCAATGTCGGTGCACTCACACCAGTTCATTCGTCCAGCTCATAATTATTTCGATTTTGTCATGCGTTTTGCAACTACATTCGATTTGAGCAAATTAAAAGTCAACGTAGTCTATTCGAGAGCCTTCAAAGCAATCAATTCAAGAACGGTTGGTCGAGAAGGGCTAAGAAGGCAGTGCCTCCTATTTTAGGCAGAAACAAGAACGCGAAACGCGTAAATCGCTCTCAAAAACGATACAAATTTTCAGCGATAAAGCTGATAAATACCGACCATTTCATGATTTTTTTTAAAGAAAAAAGCCATCCAAAATTTTCATGAATTACTATCAACGGCTTGTAACATCAGGCTAAAACATCTTTTAAGTCAAAATGTCTGAATTCATAGTTTTTACCTCTAAATGAATGAATGAGAATGCCAAAAGCACTCAGGAGGACAAAAGTTTTAACACAGTGCTTATTTCAAGCAATTAACTTGGTATTGTATCTCATGCATATTTTGTACTTTCGTTTCTGTTTTTGAAGATTTTCATCTCATTCAATCAAGATAGCAGGAAGGCCACTTAAGTATCTGACAAAATTTTAGGAAGTAAGAGGGCATCTTTCCTAATTGCAGGATGCCTACAAGTCCGAAATTTCCAGAAAGTCCGGAAATAGTACTAATGTGTTTAGGGCGGTCCGGAAGTACTGAAAAAGTGCGGAAATTCCGCAAGAAAATTCAGAATTGTTTTCATTTTGTTTGTTAC